TCCACTATAATTGCCAACCTACACCAAAAGACCCAACAAACGTGGAGCAAGAAAACAAAATGCTAACCATACAGTAAAATGGAGTGAAAAGGCTAAACTATAGCCAGTTTCTCTACCAGAGCCTGCAAGAGCCTGGTAAATCTAAGAGCCATGAGCCAATTAGATTTGAAGATGGGTGTGTCACAGATGTTGAATGGAAAATTACAGCATTTCCACCAAAATAATGAAACCAGCATGTGGACACCTGATTCAAGATAAGCTAGACACTGGCTAATGATTGTGAAAGCTGATAAACATCTTTTACTGTTGTGAAAAAGAAAGATAAGCTAGACATAAACTCACAAGCATAGAGAACAAACCAGTGGTTACCACTGGGAAGAGGGGGCAATATAGGGGCGGGGGAGTAACTATTAGGGGCAAACTATTAGGTATAAAACAAGCTACAAGGATATATTATACAACAGGGGGAATATAGCCAATATTTTGTAACAACTATAAATGAAGTATAACTTGTAAAGATTGTGAATCACTATACTGTACACTTGTAACTTACGTAATATTATACATCAACTATACTTGGATTTAGACAGAAAGTAAACCTATTAAAAAAGATAAACTAGACTTTCTGTGGAAGGGAAGTATAATTAAAATATTCTCTGGTCACACATTAGAGGTATTAAAAAGAGAATACATCATTTTTCCTTGAAAAGCCATATAGGTTACTACCCAAATATTCCACAATATTAAAGTTCATGGAAGAGATGAAATTGGAGAGTGCTGAAAAGCCCTCCAGCTTCTAGGCCTGTTCACTATGCTCTGCCAGCTGGGCCCACTCAAGGCCCAGCTCCCTGAGGGGAACAACCTCCTCTCCATGCCTGCTCTCCTATCCCACGGCCCTTTGTCCACACTTACATTTTATCTGACCACAGCATCCCACTCTCAAAATAGAATGATGGCCACTTGAGGTAGGCGGAATCACAACACCCAAAGGTGCCATTGACAAATAGCCAGAATTTATGGATAGGCCACCTTACTTGGCAAAGGGGACCTTGCAGACAGGATTAAGGTTAGCAACCTCTAGCTAGATTATCCTGGATTTTGCAAGCCCAATCTAACACATGAGTCTTAAACATCAGAGAACCTTTTCCCATTGGTAGAACCAGTGTGCAGACTCAGTCTACTATTGCTGACTCTGAAGATGAAGGGAGAGGACTATGAGCCAAGGAACGTGGGCAGCCTCAGGAGCTGGGAAAGGCAGGGAAACAGATTCCTCCTGGAGCCTCTGGCAAGAAATACAGCCCCGCTGACACTCTGATTTCAGCCTGATGAGACCTAAGCTGGACATCCAACCTTCATAGCTGTATGATGACAAACTGGTGCTGTTTTACACAACTGTATCTGTGGTAATTTGTTACAGCAGTTACAGAGAACCAATATACCACTTTTCCCTGATTCACAGAATGACTTAAGTCAGTGGATAAAATGAAATCTTTTTTTTTTTCTATAACTTGTCTTGTACCTTTGATGCTGCTACTGCCCTGTCGGCTAGAAAAGGATGAAGAACAACAACAACAACAAACAGAGCGGTGTCCTGCGAGGAGCCCCACCCCTGCCTTTCAGATGTTCTGTCAACTTAAGTTCGAGACCCACGAACCCCACTACCACCAAGCCTCAGGGAGCAGTTGAAGGAAGGGCTCTACGCAGACGGTGCCTCTCCTGGTGGTTCAAGTTGACGATTCATTCCTTTCAGCCAGAAGTTCCCCAAAACTCCTGCTCTGTGGCTGGGTGCCAGGGATACAAAAGCTCCCTCTGTGAGGTGGCTCACAGGGTAATAAACACTCTGACATCAGGAAGGACAGGGTGGCAGGGAAGCATGGGAAGAGTAAGCATCTGAACCAGACTTGTCATCTATAAGATGACAGCAGTTATACAATAGATACAGTGGTCCCAGGGGTGAGCTGGCAGAATTCAGCACTGTCTTCCCAGGTACTGGTTATGTGGACTTTTCCTTCCATGACCAGACCATGGAGCCGGACTCACTCTGCACACTCACCTGTTTCCACATCGTTGGCATTGGCTGAGTCCCTCAGCCTCTTCAGAGCTGTGAAGAGAATAAGAGTGCCAGTTAAAAAAACAGACAGACAAAAAAACCCAGCAATGGCCATGAGAAAGCAGAAAGTGATGGCTTCCTGGAAACTTCCTGGCAGTCCAGTGGTTAAGGACCCATGCACTTCCACCACTGGGGGCACAAGTTTGACCCCTGGGGGAACTAAGATTCTGCGTGTTGCACAGCACTGCCAAATGGAGAAAAAAAACATCTAAAGGGAAAGAGAGGTCCCAGAATACAACCAGGAGAAACCTGAAATGTGACACAGCTAGTGCAAAAGCCACATTTTGTAGCAAATCCTCCAAGGCCTTTGCAGCCAGTTCTTGGCTCTGCCACTTGGTGACCTTGAACAAGTTCGTTAAGCCCCTGGGCTTCAGATCTATCAGGTACAAACAAGGTTGAGCTCTGTCCTGACAGTCCTGAGTTGTTGCAAAAGTCAAATGAGATGATTTACACAAAGCTCTTTGTGAGCTGGTTACATATATAATCTTATACTCTCCTTCAAAACAGGCCACTCCCAAATGGCATATTTAAATTGGATAATTCCCACACAGAAACTTTTTTCTCCACAATGACACTACTTCTATATTAGAGGCTAATAGAAAGCAATACTTTTATGATCAGAGAAATGGACAAAAATTACAATTCAGATATATAATGATTCCTTACATTTATACAGCACTTTCAAATTCTCAATTAATCCTGATAACACCACTAAGTTATGAGTAGGTCCTAGAGGGAATCTAAAAGTCCCCATTCTTAAATCTTTCAGGGTGTTGGTTTCCATGGCATCCATAAAATGTAAAAGACAATATGGAAGAAGTATCAGAGCAGGAGTTCTAATAACAGCACAAACAATTTCTACTGATGTGACTTAGAGCAAGACAATTTCTCAGAGGCTCAGTTTCATCTTCAGTAAACTGGGAACAGTATCTGGATCTTGATGAGTTATTATGAGGATCAAAAACTGTCACAGGGCTTCCCTGGTGGTCTAGTGGTTAAGAATCTGCCTGCCAATATAGAGGACACGGGTTTGATCCCTGGTCCAGGAAGATCCCACATGCCTCTGAGCAACTAAGCTCATGTTCCACAACTATTGAACCTGAGTTCTAGAGCCCAGAAGCTGCAGTTACTGAAGCCCGCGTGCCTAGAGCCCATGCTCTGCAATGAGACGCCTGCACACCGCAATAAGGAGTAGCCCCCACTCACCAGAACTAGAGAAAGCCTGCGCTCAGAAAAGATGGCCCAGCAGAGCCCAAAATAAATAAATAAATCTTAAAAAGAAAAGAAAATGACCCCATTATTACCAACAGTGTCTGGCACACCTTGAAGGCCAAATGTTGACTATACATTCACCTCGTCAACATTCCCATTCTACAGATAAGAAAACTACAGCTGAAAGGGTCTGCAGTTTGCCTAAGGCCACCGTGAGCTAGAAAAGTCCAACCCAGGTCTGTGCATTTAAAGAAGCTGGTACGACTTTGCTCTGATACGAAACTATTCTCCACTACCCACGTATTATCTACACCTGGGGCTAGGAATCCGTTTCTACTCAGGAACTACCAAATGTGAAAAGCCTCCGGGACTATTTCTGAGCAGGAAGACTACATTTTTTTTTTTTTTTTTTTACACTCATGACTGTTAGCAGTCATACGACTACTATTCCTACTGGAAGAGTACTCAGGGGTCACTCCAGGTCCGTAGCGCAGACGTCGGAGGACTCCATCCTGAGCGGGCTGGGGAGATCAGCCAAAAGCCAGCCCCGCCTCCCGCCGCGCTCCTCACCGTGCACCTCCTTGCCAGTGGGCCCAAGCCGGCGGTGGGGCCTGGCGGCGCGCCGCAGCCTGCCCGCGGGGATCTTACAGCGCAGCTCATCGCGGGGCTCCGCGTCCTGCTGCCACAGGACGTGCAGGTACCGCAGCGGGGACTGGGCCCCGCTGGACGCCCGGCCCGGGAGGCCCGCGCCGCCGCCCAGCGCAGACCCAAAGTCGGCGAAGGAGAAGAGGCCCTCGGGACCCGTCAGCGGCTCGGGCGCCACAGCGCACTCGCCGTCGGAGCTCGAGCGGCCCGAGCGCGACTCGTCGTCCGCGCCCCCGGCGGCGGCTGCCATGGCAACAGCTCCGCGCCGGCCTGGCCGCCGGAGGAGCCTCGTGCCCGACGGACCAACGGACCCGCTTCCCTCCGCCCTAAATGCTCGCTGTCAGCGGACGAGCTGGCAGGCCGGGCCTGCAACCACGGCAACCGGGTGGGGGGGCGGGTTCGGGGAGGGGCGGGCGCGCGAGCGGGGCCGTTCCGGACCAATGAAAACCCTTTCAGCCGCAATAGACTTGGTTTCCGGCAGCATGACTGATGGGTATAATAACCAATCACAAATTTGAGCTGTCCCCTACCGGAGCCAATAAAATAGCTGAGTTTAGGACACTTTTTTTTTTTTTTCTTATTTCTCCCTTCGGATGAAGGGAAAGATAACCGGCAGATGCCCTAGCCAATCACGTTAAGATGATTTGCAGCCAATCACAAAGGAAAGTGAAGAAGCCAGAGGAAAAGGAAAGGAAGAAAATGTTTAAATCAATGAACGTAAAAAGAAAAAAAGAACTTCCTACAAATATACAGTGTTAAGTAGGAAATGAGAATATGTTAAAATGTGGGGCTAGCAACACAAACCGTGTAGTAATAGCTTCTAAAGGCGATAGATTCCGTTCGTTCTCTCCGTTACCCTGGCGTTGATCACTAATTTACAAAGAAACGAATTCTGTAATTCAAGGACTTTTCTGTGGCTCAGACGTTAAAGAATATGCCTGCTATGTAGGTGACCCGGGTTCGATCCCTGGATCTGAAAGATCCCCCGGAGAAGGAAATGGCAACCCTCTCCAATATTCTTGCCTGGAAAACCCTATCGACAGAGAAGTCTGGCGGGTTCCAGTCCATAGGGTCACGAAGAGTCGGACACGACTGAGCGATTAACACTGTAACTCAACATCATTACACGAGAGTGATCAACATTTGAGTCCGAGTGCCAGTCACTGAGCCAGCAAATTCTCTGTGCTAAGTCCTGGACACAGAATCAGACTGGGTACGCTCTGAGAGGCTCACGTCGGGTGGGAGAAGTCAGAGCCGGAAACAAGGAAGTGTTCCGCAAACGGCTAACGGTGAGCTTAGCAACCCCTCCCAGTTACCCTGCTTTGTAAGACTTTTCACAACCCCGAATCCCGCATACACTTCTGTAAAGTGAGCAAAGAGGACCACCGCTACTTCATAGACGAGGGGCTGAAACCAGAGAGATAACGGACTTGTTCACGGATGCCCAGCTCTCTTGAGAGGAAGACTGTCCTGGCAAAAGTTGTTCCTTGTTATTCAGCACAGTGAAAATGTAATCTTTTTCAGACAGTTGAAAAGCACTTTCAGATTTTGCAGTGTTCTCAGAACACCACTATAAATTTTATCATTGTAACATATGGAGAAAAATGTTTATTATTATTTTTCTCCTCCTCTGCCCCATGCAGGAGAAGGGCATATGACAACTTCATTTGTATCTAGAAAGAAACATTGAATGGGTACCATTTACCGAGTGCTTAATATATATGATGCCATTTAGCTCTCCTTCACAAGAGCCTTAGCAGGTAGATATTATTATACTGACTTAGCAGAATAGGAAACTGTAGTCTTGAAATGTCATATGAATCAACCAGGGGTATGAGACTAGAAAGTTGGACAACTGGGATTTAAACATAGAAAATCCTCTTTCCATCACACTGCTCTCTCCTATTGGAAACCTGCCTCCAGAGAATATAAGTGACTTCTGGATGTTTATACCTCACTCCTGCCGAGTGTACCCTGAAATAACTTTATTAATCATTCCTCAACTTTTTCCATGTAATAACCTCCAAAATAATCTTCATCCCTCCAGTCTCTCTTTGAAGAACCAAGGTGTACTTGTTGTCTAAAGCACAATTCTCTTCATCTCCTACTAGTGGGTTTGGTCTTCAAGCCATCTTGGTCTCCTAAAAAGTTTGCATGATCTGAAATCTTTTAATTTAAACAGGATCCCTAAACATCTAGAGGTTGCTGTTACTTCTAAATTTTAAGTCAGCTTTGTTGAAGTACATAGCCCAACCCTTTGTGTATTGCAAGAACCACTTGTTATTTGGATTGGAAGAATGGGATGTGGGTTGGATGTGGACCCAGTTAACCTAACCAGCTGAGATTTGAATGGAACTTGGGACTATGAAATTGTATTCCCTCATAATGCCTGGCTCAGCAACTGGAGCAAGCATATTGTAACTATTTGACTAACTGGTTGAATGAATGAATGCATGAGTAAAGAGAACATGTCCCAGTGGTTAAGACCGTCAACAATGGACCATAAATATGTAGTTTTATGGCTCTAAGCAAGTGACTTTCCTTCTCTTGTCATCAATTTCCTTGGCCACACAATAAAAGTAAGAGTAGTCCCTATATCATGTATGTGCATGCTCAGTCACTCAGTCATGTCCAACTCTTTGGGACCCCATGTACTGTAGCCCACCAGGCTCCTCTGCCCATGAAATTTTCCAGGCAAGAGTACTGGAGTGGGTTGCCATTTCCTGTTTTGATGATCTTCCCAAACCAGTGATCAAAGCCAATGATAGAAGAACCTAGTACAGAGTGTGGTACAGTTATTGCTCAAAGTATGATAGTTGTTCTTATAAAGAAGCTTAGGATGCAGGCTAGGGCCTATGCAGGTCAGTTCAGTTCAGCTGCTCAGTTGTGTCTGACTCTTTGTGAGGCCATGGACTGTAGCACGCCAGACTTCCCTGTCCATCACCAACTCCTGGAGCCTGCTCAAACTCGTGTCCATCAAGTCGATGATGCCAGTGAAAATCCTATGCAATTGTGGGCATATCACACTGGTATGAACTTGATCTAAGGGGGCTGCAAGTGTTCATATGCAAGTCATTATGTTTGGTCAGTTAGCAAATAGAACATGAAGCACTTAATGGGAGACAAAGAAAGTACGTCTAATGTTGCCTTGTGGGAAAAGCTTCTGCTTGGGAATCCAGGGGTTTGTGTTCTAAGACCTACTCTGCCATGACTCACTTCATAATTTGGGGACAAGTGTTTCCTTTCTTTGGGCTTCAGTCTTCACATCAGAAATATTGTTCTAGGTCAGATAATGACACTGGCTCAGGCTGGCTTGGCTTTCCCTTCATTCATTCCTTCATCCTGTTGGCCTACACAGTATTTTAGAGCAATTTGAACTGGTTGCCAACATTAAAAAATTTAGATCTTTCCCACAAAACTTTTTATTTCCAGATTCTTTTAAAAATAAGACAGTATAGCAATACATGACCAACTCTCCCACCTGGCAATGGTTGGCTAGAGCTGTATAGCAACTTTCCCCTTTAGGCGGGGCATGGTATTCTGGTTTGCCACAGTCCCCACCACTCTCTGTTACCTCCATTTGAGGCCTAAAGGCAGTCGCCATTTGTCCTCATACCTGTGATTTTTTTTTTTAATGGAGCTAACAGGAGATTAAAATATCACTTGTCTCCATCAAATGTGGAATAATGAAAATTAGTGTGGAGGAAAATTATTTAGTATGTAAAAGCATGATGTACAGTGATTGTGTGACTTCTTAATGCCATTCTAGAGAATTTCTAATCAACTTACATAAGGGACATCTGACTCTCTGGGGAAATTTAACTTTGACTAACAATTGACTAGGACTCAGTGATTTTTTATAACTCTGTAAAGTTAGAGGTTAGCTTGTAGGAAACTGATAAGGTACAGTGACTTTTGTACAGCCAGTAAAGAACATAACACCAGAGTTATGGTTTTGTTACTCTGGAGTGCAAGACACAGATTTGGATCTAATTTAGCAATCATATTTCTATTTTTTGGCTGCACAGGATCTTCTTTGTGGCGTGCAAGTTTCTCTAGTTGCAGATGTGGGATCTTAGTTCCCTGACCAGGGATTAAACCCATGTCCTCTGCATTGGAAGGTAGATTGTTAACCACTGGACCACCAAGTAAGTCCCTAGCAATCATATTTCAGCATTTCTTTGCCCATTCTAGTGCATGTGTGCTCAGCTGTGTCCGACACTTTCTTTGCCCATTAACTATTCTCAAATTCTTTTCAGGCCATGTCTGTCATACTGTTGTTTCCTTCATTAACAAATAAATAAGCTCACTCTTTATTGGTATAATTATGTTTTTAACCTCTTAGTGGTATTAATCTTTTACCTACTGTGGAAGTTCCAAAGATTTTTCATTAGTCATTTGTTGTTAATTTTACTTATAATTTTTAAATGAAATTTACTGAGGTTTTAAGTATGTACAAGAAAATTCCCACGTTTTAACACAAGGCCGGTCATTTCTGATAAATGTATACACTCAGGTGACTATCACCTCAATCAAGATATGTAGCATGACAAAGAAATATATATATGAGCATGCAATTATATTTTTAACAATTTGAGAATTGCTATTTTAGATTGTAGAAAGAGGGCACGCCCTTTTCAGAAAAGTAGGTAAATATTTATTTGCAGGCAAGAACAATAGTCTTCAATAGTCTCCATCAAAGAAGGCTACAATTTAACATACATTTGGAAACAGCACGCTACTTTTTGTTTTTTTTTCTAGTGGACTCCTGTATCAGATGATCCCTAAAGATACTTCTACTTCTGATTTATGAAGACTCAGCTACTTGTCTCTCAAGGCCTACATACTACTGCCCCAAAGGGCAGTGAGCAGAGGCTTCTGAGATCATTTCAGGAGAATGAAACAAACAAGATAATACATCAACTACAAACAAACTCAAGATTCTTGGGAAGTGGGGCTTGACATGAACAGAGCTGAAGAGCCCAGGATGACTATTAAATATAACTAATGGCTTTCCTGTGTCAGAATTTCCTGCCTCAAATCCCAAGTGAAAGAAGATCAAGAAAACAGGCTACCTTTTCAACTGCTAAATTCTCTCAGTAACTCTCTCAGGTAAAATTATTCCAGGAGCTTTGGTCTGCCGCCCGTTTCTTTCCCTCTGAAGTACTGGTTTTCCATTAACAAGGGAGCCTTGCAAAATCAAACACTCTGTGATCAAACATTTCATAGTCTACAATGGGGGCCGGGTTACTCTTAGGTCAAAGTTGGATTTCTTTCTTTTCTAAAAAAATTGTCTTCTTGGGTCTTAATTGTGGCATGTGGGATCTTCATTTGGGTGCATGGATTCTAGTTTAGGGGGCATCTGGGCTCCATAAGTTGTGGCACATGGGATCTTAGTTCCCATCAGGGATGGAACCTATGTCCCCTGCATTACAAGGCAGATTCTTCACCTTACACAAAGAATAAAGAACAGAAAATAACAAACCAAAAACGAGAGAGGAAAGAGATTTATTTATTTAGAACGAAGGAGCACAATGAAAATTGTAGGAGAAATCTTGCAATTATAATTTGCAGTTTGTAATTTTAAAAAGCTAACAACACAATCATCATGAAATCCAGAAATGAAGCCATATTTTTCTTAAACACCTCTATTTTTTTCTTTTTAAAGGTTTAATTGACTTTGATCACTTTATATAACAATTTTGTATCATTTCCCACAATTTTAATGGAATGACAATTTAGTTTTTCCTTCAGCATGTCAAACCAAAAATTTTTCCTAATTTAGAAAAGTTCCTTCCGACTTTGCAATTCTTTTTTAGTAACGTCATGAACATTTTGAGAGTTGTCAAAGTTGAGGGCAACCTCTATCAAATTTTTGTCATATACTAACTGTAAGATTTTGGGAAATTTGAAGCTTTCTAGTTGCCCTGATTACCCTTAAATACTTACTTCATTGAGGACCCGCCGTGTAGGTGTACATTACACACGGAGGGTCAACAGTAACTATTCACACAAGAGTATCACATAAACCTATCCTACTAAGCTCAAACGTTTCAAACAGGATTTCCTCTAGCAGAATCCCAAACGCCACTAGACACAAGAGGAAATGTGATGGGAGGAGAAATCGGAATAGAAAGAAGTTCTAACGGACTGCAATAAAAACATTACTCTTTAAAAAAAATTTCAAAACCATATGACTATGTGAGCACGGTGCTGGGTCCCCTCCTTAAGCCAACGAAGGGTCCCGGGGACTCGACGGGCCCTTAAGCTTAAGCTTAGTTCCATGCTGGTATCACCTTTTGGTAACCGACGACGCAAAGCAAGAACGCGGCACAAGGAGTTGGGGCGAGGCACTGCTGTTGTAATGGCTAAACTAAGGCCCTTCACCCACACACCGGTTTGTGTTGGTTTGTTTTGGTTTGTTTTATAACCCTGTCCCTAACTCTAGGGTTTCATCAGGACTCAAACTCATTCAAACGCCCGGTGGTGAACACCCCTCACAGCGTGCAGTGCTGTAGGCGAGGGTGGGTCCTAGGACTGCCTCCTCCCTCCACAGCTGGCTTCATCTTTGCCTGCTCCAATATTAATGTCCAAAGTTGGCGGGGGTGGGGAGCGCCTTTTCTCAATACCTTCGCACTGCATTGGACTAAACTTCCATTTTTAAACTCGATAAGTTTAGACTTTGGAGAGCAGAACATTTGAAGACCGTTTTTTCGCCTCAGGCAAACCTCTAGCACCTAAATCCACATTCAGGCCCCCCATAGCCAAATGACCCATCTCGCGAGACGACGGCCGAGGAAGCTGTCAACCATCCTTTGAGGGGGTTACTTCTGGTTTCTTTTACCTTGCCCATTCTTTATTACCCTAAACTACTTAACATTATTAGTTATAAAATTTTGCAAGTACTGTAGAATCGCCTTCCTTGTAGAGCCTCTATTTGAAGAAGGAAGACTAATGGTGTTTACTTCCGCCCTTCCCAACATGGCTACCTCAGCTTGCCGGCGGCCCCAGAAAACCTTCCGGTTTCCCGGCAGCCTCTTGGGAGGTTGGATTTCCGGCGCCCAGACGGAGGCGAGGCCTCCTTTTTCCGCTCTTTCCAGGCTGGGTTCGCGGCCGCCGTAGCCATGTCGTATCCTGCTGATGATTACGAGTCTGAGGTAACTTGTCCTTGACGTGTGCCGGTCTCCGCCACAGGGATAGGACTTTTGGGATACTGATCCCTAAGGGGAAGTGGTGTCCGCGCCTCTCTGGGAGCCCGCGCCAGCCTCGCCGCGTGCCCGTACTTATGCTGCTGCCACGCACAGCTCCGGACTCCAGATCAGCCGGGTCTCGGCCCGCCCACCTCGTGTGTCCGGTCCCCTCGTCCTCTCCTTTTCAAGCCCGGGGGCCGAGGCTGGATTTAAAGGGTTCTCTGTTTCTGTAACTGAGCTCTGACTTTTTATGATTTGGGCTCAGTTCCGTCAAACCCCGCTGATTCCCACAGCCTCTTGTGCTTTGCTCTTGTTGCAGCCGTAACGAGGTATTGTCATTGTCTATTTATTCTCCCTTTTCTCACAGGCGCGTGAGTCGCTCAAAAGCAGGGACTGTGTCTTTTTGTCTTTGTGTTTTTTCAGTTCAGGTCAGTCGCTCAGTCGTGCCCGACTCTGCGACCCCGTGGATTGCAGCACTCCAGGCCTCCCGGAGCTTGCTCAAACTCATGTCCGTCGAGTCCGTGATGCCATCCAACCGTCTCAACCTCCGTCGTCTCATTCTCCTGTCTTCAATCTTTCCCAGCATCCGGATCTTTTCCAATGAGTCAGTTTTTCACATCAGGTGGCCAAATTATTGGAGTTTCAGCTTCAGCGTCAGTCCTTCCTGTGAATTTTCAGGACTGATTACCTTTAGGATGGACTGGTTTGATCTTGAAGTCCAAGGGACTCTCAAGAGGCTTCTCCAGCACCACAGTTTGAAAGCATCAGTTCTTCTGGGCTCAGCTTTCTTTATAGTCCAACACTCATATCCACACATGACTACTGGAAAAACCATAGCTTTAACTAGATAGACCTTTGTTGGCAAAGTAATGTCTCTGCTTTTTAATATGTTGTCTAGGTTGTCATAACTTTTCTTCCAAGAAGAAGGTGTCTTAATTTCATGGCTGCAGTCACCATCTGCAATGATTTTGGAGCTCAAAAAAATAAAAGTCTCTCACAGGTTCCATTGTTTNTGAGACTGACCTTTTCCAGTCCTGTGGCCACTGCTGAGTTTTCCAAATTTTCTGGCATATTGAGTGCAGCACTTTCACAGCATCATCTTTTAGGATCTGAAATAGTTCAACTGGAATTCCATCACCTCCACTAGCTCTGTTCATAGCGATGCTTCTTAAGGCCCACTTGACTTTGCATTCAGGATGTCTGGCTCTAGGTGGGTGATCACACCATCGTGGTTATCTGGGTCATGAAGATCTTTTTTGTATAGTTCTTCTGTGTATTGTTCCCACCTCTTCTTAATATTTTCTTCTTCTGTCTTACTCGTCTTTGTGTCTTTAGGAACCTAGATCGAGCATGTTGGATTCACAGACTGGTGACTGTTTCTCTGTGTCTCTTTTGTTAATAGGCGGCTTACGATCCCTATGCTTATCCCGGCGACTATGATATGCACACAGGTGAGTCTATGGGTTTGGCTAGCTGGGTGCTTCTGAGGATTGGCACCTTTTTGAATGTCTCACAGCTGCCCTGAGGGTACCTGTTTAAAACTAGGTGTTGATGATCCAGGTTTGGAGTCAGTTACTAGCTCTCCGCCAAAGGGTGGTACAGAGCCTATTAAATCAGGCTTTTTTTATGGTCCACATCAAAGTCTCACAAAGGAAGGATGGTTGTCCTGGCTGTGGTTTTCCTTTTTTAAACTATTACCTGAAGAACAAAATCTTCTTGTGAAAAATTAAAAGTTTAGTTGCTTGCACCATGTCATATTGATAGAGAATGGCAGTTGGTTATTTATTTAAAAAATGCTAAGTGCCTACTACTTACTCTCTCTTAACCACAGTCTCCACTCCCTTCCCAATAACTGTCCCAAGTTCTGAGGGTAGACCTGGGTGCAAGACAGATAGGGTTCTTGCTGTCATAGACTTTAGATTCTTATGGAATAGTCAATAAACAAATAAATTACTTTGATAAATAAAGCGAGTAGTGGAAAATGTGAAGAAAGAGGCCAGTGGGGATTGGGAGTGACGTGGAGAGTGTTTAAAAAGGAATTAGACCTAGTTTTATAGACATGAGTTTAGTTTTAAGAGTGGCCTTCCTTTTTTGTTATGTTATACATTCAGATTTGAAGTGTTTATCATATCCAATCTCTAGGAGATCCAAAGCAGGATCTGGCTTATGAACGTCAGTATGAACAGCAGACCTATCAAGTGATCCCTGAAGTGATCAAAAACTTCATCCAGTACTTCCACAAAACTGTCTCAGACTTAATTGACCAGAAGGTGTATGAGCTACAAGCCAGTCGTGTCTCCAGCGATGTCATTGACCAGAAAGTGTATGAGATTCAGGACATTTATGAGAACAGGTATGGGCCATTGGCTGAAATGATCTCCTATTGGGAGACTGGCTGAGTAATGCAGTCTGTAAAGGGGATGATATTTACTCATTACTCTGTAAGTTACTGAGAGTGCCCCAGAGTTTTCTGTGATTCTTTGGGGGCTATAGACATTACTTTGTTGGACTCTATACCAGAACTTGTAATAGGCCTAAAATAATACCATCAGTGTTAATAATTGTAATAGTGATTGCATTATATGATCAATATAAATTAGTGTCATGAGTGCTTTTCTTGTATTTACTCATGTACTCTTTACAGTGACCTTGTGAAGTAGGTACCATTGTTTTCCTCATGTTATAGGTGAGAAACAAAGCACAGAAGGAATAAGTCACATAGTGGATGTTCTGAGTTTTGAACCTGCACAGTCTGTCACCAGAGCCTAATTTCTAAATTGTGCTGTCCAACTTCTCAGTGCATAGTAGGGTGAACCGAGCTC